CCCTTTGACAAAATTTTAGATCGTTTAGGAGGCGGGCTTCCGACCATGCCAGTCAGGGCCAACCTGGGCTGGGATCAATGCGACATCCCAGCTGAAAGACCGAGTATATACACTGTGAAAGTTCTCTTCACTCGGGAATCGAACTGGGGCCTTTTGTGTGCGACACTACACCACAGACGCCGGTACCTTCGTTTGAGTTTGAGCAAGCATTTTACGGCACTTACAGCACACATAGATCATATGATTGCCGAAGATTAGAGGTGTTGGTAGATTGGTAGAGAGCAGCTTATATACTAAGAAAACAAGAAGGAGAGATAAGGACGATAATAGATATATGACACGAAAAAACAAGCAAACCACACCAGGGCACCTGCCTGCCACATTCTTGCGCATCTTTTTTTTCGAAGTAGCGGATCTGAAACAGACGTTAGCTATCATTGGCTGTCACTCCCTTCGTTGCTCGGATGCTCACAAATAATCCAACGGTCATCTGTCTCAGACAATCACCTGCACAAACAGACACTTTCTACTTCTCCACTTGCGTTTTTTCTATAATATTATAATGACCATAGACGCCGTTATCTTTGTTTGAGTTTGAGCAAGCATTTTACGGCATTTACAGCACATATAGGTCATATGATTGCTGAAGGTTTTTTGAGAGCATCCGAGCAAAGGAATGAATGGAAAACCATGACCGCCGATTTCTGTCGCAGATCTGGCACTGGATGATGTTGATGATGATTATAATGACACTCGTATTTATGACATCTATCTAAGACAACCAGTTTTCTCTTGGAACCCGTGAGTTCGTTTCTAGAGAGTGATGGTTTTTTAAACTGAGTACCCTCGACTATCTGCCAGGATGTTGTATTCTTCTCAGCCAGGGCTGGCCCCCAGAGGACAGTGCAGAAGCAGCCGGCCTTTAAAAGGTTCTGAATTGTGTTGATGGGGACGAGGAGTTTAAAAAGAACATTGCAGTTATGTTGTTGTTGCTGTTGTGTTGTTATTGTTGTTGTTATTGTTGTTGTTGTTGTTGTTGTTGTTGTTGTTGTTGTTGTTGTTGTTGTTGTTGTTATCGATCCAGAAACAGCTGGGCTCTCACCCTTCTGTCCGATGCCAAGTAGTGATAAGTGCAGGTTTGCTGCAGTTGCTGTAATGTTCCATAGAGTGTGTTGTCAAAGTTAGGTCTCGGAGGTAGACGGGTAAGCAGTTATCAATATTTCTGCTTTGTTCCTTTGCAGACAAATCTACTGGTCGGACTGGGGGTCGACTCCCCGCATTGAGAAGTCTGACATGGACGGCACGGAGCGCGAGACGGTTGTTCAGTTTAACTCCACGGCCTGGCCCAATGGACTCGCCCTGGACGCAGCAGGTGAGAACAACACACACGCACGCGCACTCACAAACACACACACACACACACTCTCACAAACACGCACAGACCCACAGACCCACACACCCACAAACACACACACACACACACACACACACATACACACATATGCTCACACA